AGGGGCTGCACCTCTGGTTGACCTCAACAGTAGCTGTGCCTGTTTATACCAGAAGCTGAATTTGGTCCACACAGAATACCAAGTCTGAATGTGACCATATATATCATAGTGCACCCACGCAAGGGGCTGAGTTAAGGTTGCATAAATGCTTGACTTTGCAATATAAATTATGTTTTTTTTTAAGGGAGGGCTTTGTTTTATTAATATAATACACAGCTCCCCCAGCACAGTAGTTCTGGAACATTTCATAGGAGCAATCCCCTCCTGGGGGAACCTCACTCTCCCAACCTCCCCTAGCACACCATCAGCTGCACGTCTGCAGAGCACAGCCCAAGAACTGATGAGAACATATTTGTGCCCTACGCAATACTGACTCCACTGAAAGTTGCAAAGGAAAAAGCCATTTTAGACCCATAGAAGTTAAAGATGGAAAAGGCCTCTTCAGATCATCAGCTGCTTGCCAGCGCATGGTCACTTCCTGGAGCCTGTTTCTATTGTTATGTATGGCTTTCAAACAATGGGGCACCCAGAACACCCCTGGACAGAATATCCCACAGCCTAACGGATCTCATTGGGACAGGAACGTACCCCTGTGCAGTCTGTTAGCTTTCCTAGACTCCAGCCCTGTGTGCTAGTCACGCCCCTTTGTGTCCCAATTCTGCACCCTTCTTGGCATTTACTGTCATCACCCTTCAAATAGAGGGGCTCTTCTCATAGTGAAGCCTGGGGGGGTTTCACTAAAGGTTTCACTATAACTAGAGCCAGCCTGGCTGGCAAAACCTCCCCTCCTCTGACCCAGGAGAGGCGGCTGGGTATCTGCCACCCCAGGCAATTAGGGATGTCCATAAATTACATAATACTTTTTTTTGGTGATTTTCAAAACCCACTCGCCCCCTTGTAAAGCTTTGTAACACTGAAACAAAGTCTCTGTCATGCAAAATTAAGGATCTGTCTACCACATGTTAGGTAATTTATGGACAGCCCCCGGTGCAGTCATAGGGAGAGTGCCCACGCAGGAGACATAATTCTTCACTCTTAATGAGAGTGCTGGGTAATTCGCCTGACCCCTTTCTCAGCAGAGCAGAGGCTGTTTCTCCTTGGCTATAGGGTGGGTTGGTGTAAAACATGTGACTGGCTACTACTGTGTGGCCTATGTGCCCCCTTGCTGGGGGTTCAGATCTTTGGGTCTGAGCAGGGATGGATCCACTGGCAGCTCTCCTGCATTGCCATGCCACCAAATGCCACTGTGTGTCCTACTTTCCACACCCTCATCACACAGAACCACAGCATTTCTGCTCAGTGGGAGGCTATTGTGACTATAGTGTGTGTGTCCTTTAGAGGACCCGATTATCACTGTTACTCCAGCTTTCACTAGGGCAGTCAATGGAGTACACCAGTATAAAGTGAGGGTACTGCCATGAGGAACAAGGCTCAGTGTCTCCAGCCTGTCTGCAGACTCAGCATTGCACTGGTTCACTTTCAGAATGGGCCTAGATCTCATTGCCTTTGCACTCTTTCTAAATGCTACTAACATTTGTGATTTTATCACAAGACTTGCAATATTTCCTTAGAGCCCCAACACCTGGAGTCTTGTGAGTAGATGAAAGTCGCAGCTCCCATTTAAAATAAATTTTAAAAAGTAGATAGTTTCTAGTCTTCAGGGTAGTGGAGAAAAGCTTGAAAATGTGACCCCTAAGGACTCAAAAACTGGAAGACAAAATCAGCAAAAGTTTTATCTGGCATGTTGGGGGACTAGGGAATGCCAGTAAATCAAAAATTCTGGTTAACTAAGTGGGGAGGGAGTTTGGATTTGGGAGGGGGCTCAGGACAGGGGGTTGGGGCGCAGGAGGGGTTTTGGGATGCTGGATCCGGTCAGCACTCACCTCAGGCGGCTCCCTGGAAGCGGCAACATGTCCCTGCTGCTCCTAGGCAGAGGCGTGGCCAGGTGGCTCTGCGTGCTGCCTCCGCCCGCAGGTGCCGCCCCTGCAGCTCCCATTGGCTGCAGTTCCCAGCCAATGGGAGCTGCAGAGCCAGTGCTCGGGGTGGGGTGGGGCGGGGGCAGCTCACAGAGCCCCTGTGGCCGTTCCTCCGCCTAGGAGCAGCAGGGACATGTCACCACTTTCGGGTAGCCACACGGAGCCAGGTAGGGAGACTGCCAGCCCCACGCCAACCGGACTTTTAATGAAGATCAGAAATGCTGGTTTCTAGATCTTTCCGGTTGGTAAAGTAACACATCTTTTACTGTAATAAGGACCTGACATTTGTTTGGCTTAAAAATCAGGAGATTTTTAAAATATCTCCTTATTTTCCAGAGCTCTGACTCATGATTTGTGAATGCCTGGGATTGGTCCTACTGGTTGTTACATTAGTGTAACTCCACTGCAGTCAAGGGAGCCGATCCTCACATACACAGGTGTCAGAGACTGGAGAATCAGGCCCAATATCTTTCCAACCAGAAGGACAGGGGGCTCCTGTCCCTTCCCAAGTGAGAGCAGAAAGCCATGGGGCCAGCAGAGAAGAGCTGGCCCAGCCTATCACAGAGCATCAGCTTCTTCTAAGGCTTGGATTTGGAGAGAGCAAAGGGGAACACCTGTTTCCTGGCTTGCAATAGCTGCTGGTAGTCTGAGTTACTATCTTCCCTCCTGCGTTTACTGCCTGGAGAGGGCCAGAACAGGCTTTCAAAAGAATCAGCTGGCAGAAGGAGGGAGAGAGAAATCCAGACCAGATCTTGTCCAGAAGAAGACAGGATCCCCTTGATTATACTCTTGGAGAAAGAAATAGTTCTCCCCACTCTGCCCTAAACCTCTGCGATGAAAACCCTGATAACAACACCTGGGCTGTGCTCATAGCATTCAAGCTCAATTGCACTGGGAACGCTGGAGGGAAGACTCACATACTGCTATGCAGATCATGGCCAGCATTTCGTCTACTTATTTTGTTTTACAAAATAGTGCTGTGATTGCAATTCAGAGTTTAAACATATAAGGCAGGAATGTGCTCAGGAATCCACTGCCTTTGGCTGGAAAGCCTAATTTTGAAATTGAATTTGGAGAGGTTATGACCTTTTGTCTTGATTTACTTGGTCTGGGCCCGAAGCTGGGAAGGGAGTGAGTGTCCCCAAGAGAGGCACAAATGTCATGAGAAGCAGCTCTTCAAAACAGAAGGAACCGATGTCTCTTGGTCTTTTGCTTGTCAGACTCTAGCATCCAAGACTCATCAGTCAGATGCCCCAAAATCATGACTGGCTTAAAAATCATCAGATTTAAAATAAATAATAATAATGATAATGAACAAAAAGAAGTCAGGATGCTCTCTGATTTTTTTATCCATTAGGGAATGCTGCTTGGCCCCAATATATGTGAGATCATCATGATTCAGCCTTAAACATGCCCAGGAACGCAGAAGGCCCTCTTGTCCATCGATCGGAGAGGTCTCTGCTTATCCTCTCCTATCCCCTGGCTTAGCAGCTGCCTCACTCACATTCCCTCTCCATGCTCCCCCACAGTTTGCTCTCCCTGCCGGGATTCACTTGCCCCACATCATCCTACTCTTCATCATTCTCCCTCTCTAACCCCCTCCATCTCCTAATGCCCTCCCCTGCTCCTCTGTATCCCATTTATTTCCTCCTGCTCTCCACAGACACACCTACCAAATCCATGGTCCATTTGGGCCAATTTCACAGTCATAGGATTTTAAAAAATTTAAATGTCATTGTTTCAGCAAGTTAAATCTGAAATTTCACAGTGTTGTAATTGTAGGGGGGCAGACCCAAAAAGGAGTTGTGGGGGGGCGGAGGGTCACAAGGTTGGCGGGGGGGGGGGGTTGAAGTACTGCTACCCTTACTTCTGCTCTGCTGCTGGCAGCGGTGTTGCCTTCAGAGCTGAGCTGCTGGAGAGCGGCGGCTGCTCTGAAGGCAGAACCGCCGTCAGCAGCAGCACAGAAGTAAGAATGGCATGGGTATGGTATTGCCACCCTTACTTCTGTGCTGCTGCCTACAGATCTGGGCCCTCAGATAGCTGCCACCATGGTCTGGCCGCCGAGCTCTGAAGGCAGCAGTGCAGAAGTAAGGGTGGCACGATATGGTATTGCCACCCTTACTTCTGCACTGCTGCTGGCAGGGCACTGCCTTCGGAGCCGGGCGCCTGGCCAACAGCCACTGCTCTCCGGCCGCACAACTCTGAAGGCAGCGCAGAAGTAGGGGTGGCAATACCGCAAAACCCCTTCAACTCCCTTTTGGGTCAGGGCCCCCAATTTGAGAATCTCTGGTCTCCTCTGTGAAATCTGTATAGTATAGGGTAAAAGCACACAAAAGACCAGATTTCATGGGGGAAGACCAGATTTCACAGTCTGTGATGCGTTTTTCATAGCCGTGAATTTGGTAGGGCCCTAACTATGCTTCTTCCCGCACCCCCTCCATCTGATTTCCACTTGCATTTGCCCCCCGAGAAAGTGCAATAGTAAGTTAAGCCTTTGCAGGATCAGAGCCTAAGTATATCTTTACTCTTGTGAGTAGCCCCATTGACTTCAACAGGACTACTCACATGAGTAAAGTGACTTACTTTCTTAAGTCTTTGCAGGGCTGGAATCTTGGCTGGGGTCGAGAGCAATCCTGCCCTAGTATAGCGTGAATGGACTGACCCGGGACCCTTTGCAGCACTGCCATTTAGGATCTTGCAGTAGCATCTGAATTCTCTCCTAGAAGCTACACAGCAACATTTCAGAGACCGACTACTCAGGCAAAGAACCAGAGCCACTAATTCTGACCTAGCCAATAGAATCCAGGAAATCTGCCTTGAGTGTCTATAAACAAGTGAAGTGTGTCATGGCCAGAGGTGAAAGTAAGCGGGTATGGGCCGGTACAGCATACCAGTAAAAAAAGGTGCAGCAGTGTAACGACAAGAAAGTGGAGCATTCAGCACCGGCTTACTTTCACCTCTTTTGGCTGCATAACAAACAGCTTAAACTCAGAGCTAATAAAAGTTTGGAAAGGGAAAACTCACTGTCACATTTGTTTGTTGTTTCTCTCCCTCTCCTCCTCCAGCCAGACTGCGGACGCGGCCAGGCTCTGCGCTTTCCCCCGGCCTGGCACTCAGTAGCGGCTGCAGCGGCTCCCCTTTAGCGTGCAGCAGGGAGCAGGGGGACTGGCTGAGGGAGAAGCCTGCCCAGGATGCCTGCCGCCTGCATAAGAACAGTTTAAACTCAGCTGTTCCCTCGCGGTTCAGCCGCAGAATCAGGAGCTGTTTCTGGCATCCTTGTTAATTTCACTCAGAGTTGTGTGTATGTGTGTGTGTGTGTGTGTGTGTGTGTGTGTGTCCAAGGCAGAGGCAGTTCTTTTCTGCCCCCTGGATGAGGGGATCTCCAACAGTATAACACACAAAAAATACAATCAAAATTGGGAACCATTTCCAAGTTAAAATCTATCCCATTCCCTCCCCAGCAGAGGATCATGGTTGTGATGTCCAAATTGCTTGCAGATCCTCCTTCAAATGTTACTGTTAAACAAACAAACAAAAACCATGGAGAACATGGTGGGAAGATGTGTCATGATGATGTGGGGGTTATTTTGGGCAACGCAATTTTGCTAAAGTAACTAAAGATTTACAGGGAAAGCAAATAGCCTGATAGACAAAACCACAAAGGGATTGGAGCGGAAAACTGAATATTCAGGGAAATTATTGTGCCTCCTTTGAAAGAAATAGTAGCTTTCATTCCACCCTGTTTATATGTTGAATTAAACACCTGAAATGTCCTTAGGACATAGGGGAACGATCTCAGATCTCTTTTAGTTTTGCCAGTGTCCTGCAGAGTGTGGAGGCTGAAATTGACAAAACTTTCTCTAAGTATCTTGTATATTTCATGAAGGCTATTCTAGTCGTCCTTCATTCACCCCTGCCTTCCCCTACTACTAGCCACCCATTGGTGTGCCCCCTGCACCCTTTTATGTGCCTGGAAAGGAGATTAAACAATCCTGGATATCTGACTTGCAAGGAAATAGGGAGGGTCTAGGGAAAGCAGGGCATGGTGCAGCACAGCCCCTTGCCCCCCTGGTCCCCTCCCCCTAGCTGGCTATGGTTTTTGCCTTGGTTACTTACTCCATGGCAGACCCAGCCCAGTGGCACCTGCCGGCTCTCTGCAGACAGCAGCCCACAGGGGCCAGTTATTGGGGTCACTGCTGGTCGGCAGCAAGCTGCAGCTGCATTGTTTGGGACACATTCATACACATACATACTGTATGTATTACTGTCCTTGTGCAAGCAAGTGGCCACCCACTGCAGCGGCCGGGTGCATTCTCCAGGTGCGCAGCCCATGGAGAGGGTGCTGGTGCCCTTTTGAGGGGTGGGGGGACGGGGAGACAGTGTTTCTGCGGCTAACACCTCAGGAACTTCTACTTAATGTCAGGGTCACCGGGGGGGGGGAAGGGGCAATTTGCCCCAGGCCCCGGGCCCCACAGGGGCCCCTGGCCCCGCCTTCCCCCATCCCCCGGCGCCTCAGCGCGTCACATCAGGAGCGGCCCTGGACAGCACTGCAGCGACATGACTCCGGCGGGGCCTGAGCTCCTCCCACTGAGTCAGAGCCGCGTGGTAAGGGGGCGGGGCTGCGAGCTCCGGTCCTGCCGGAACCACACCACTGCAGCGCTGTCCAGGGGCCAGGGCAGCTCCTGGACGCAGCGCACTGAGGCTATGAGAGAAGGGAGAGGCGGCGGTAACCCAGGAGCAGCCCTGGACAGCGCTGCTGGGGGGACAGGGAGCGGGGGGTTGGATCATGGGCGTTCTAGGGGGTCTGTCAGGACTTGGCGGGGGGGTGGATAGGGGTCAGGGCAGTCAGGGGACGGGGGGTTGGTGGGGAGTGGGGTCCCGGGGTGGTGGTTGGGGGGGCGGTGAAGGGACAAGGAGCAGGATAGGTCGGGGATTCTGAGGGGGGCAGTCGGGGGGCAGGAAGTGGGTGGGGGTCAGATAGGGGGCAGGGCCAGGCTGTTTGGGGAGGCACAGCCTTCCCTACCCTAAAGCTCATTCAGCAGTTTGAGGCTTGCAGACAGCTATTTAACACAATGAGCCAAGCTGTTATCTTTTCCCTTAGGGCTACCATCCCTTTCACTTCTCAAATGCCAAATTATAGTCTACATTTAATTTCAGTGCCATAGGGAGATTCATGTCAGGGGAGGGGAGCTTCATTGAAAATTAGCCGCTTTAGATTAACAGTGATAGAGCCAAGAGAGCCATGGGGGAGGGATCACATGAGAAGAACAATATCATACACCACCTACCTCCTTCCCAACCCTACCAAGGGAGACCCCCCCCCTGCATTCCCCAAAGCTCCAGAGGGGTTAATTCAGTGGTTCATAAACTTTTGTACTGGTGACCCCTTTCACATAGCAAACCTCTGAGTGCGACCCTCCCTTATAAATTAAAAACACTTTTTTATATATTTAACACTATTATAAATGCTGGAGGCAAAGCGGGGTTTGAGGTGGAGGCTGACAGCTCGCGACCCCCAGTAATAACCCCGTGACCCCCTGAGGGGTCCCGACCCCCAGTTTGAGAACCCCTGGGTTAATTTAATTTTAGCACCCTGTGTCCATTCACATGCATGGACTATTTTGAGAATTTCAGTTTTCACAACATAGGCTCATCCCAGATTCTGGAACAAGCTCAAATGCTCAGTTCGTGGAGAATGTACATAAGCTGTACTAAAGACAAACCCACAGTAACCAGTTTGTGAGGGACCCCATGGAGCCAGTCTCTAGGAAACAGATAAATTCATGGAAGTTAAGTCCATTAATGGCTATTAGCCAGGATGGGTAAGGAATGGTGTCCTTAGCCTCTGTTTGTCAGAGGGTGGAGATGGACGGCAGGAGAGAGATCACTTGATCATTGCCTGTTAGGTTCACTCCCTCTGGGGCACCTGGCATTGGCCACTGTCGGTAGACAGGACACTGGGCTGGATGGACCTTTGGTCTGACCAGTGGCGCAGCCAGGATCTAAGAGCAGGGGGAGCAAACATAAAAAAGGCGCTCCCCCTTTGAATCCTCCTCCGGCCGCTCCGCGCGCCCCCGCCCTTGGCTGGCTCCTCCGGCCGCGCCGCCCCCCCCATTGGCTGCCAGCCACGCTGTGCGGGCCGCCTTGCTGCAGGGAGCGCGGCTCGGCCGCCTGGGGACGGCTCCCCCAGGCAGGGTGGCAGGGGGTTCCACGGCAGGCCGGGGCCAGCAGGGCTCACTCGCAGAGGTGCCGGGGCTCGCCCTGAGCGGGGCTGTTCTCCCGTCCCCTGGGCAGGCTGGGAGTCCGGCGCCGAGCCCGCGGTAACGCTCCCTCCCGCTGGCGCCCGGCGCCATGGCCACACGTCCCCCCAAACTTTACCTCGGGCCGGGCACAGAGGCGCAGCTGGCTCCCAGCCCGCCGCCCGCGCCCTGAGTCCCACGGCCCCGCCGCGCCTGGGCGGGAGCTGGCGGCCACTCTCCGCTCCCCTTCCCATGTAGCGGCCAGCATGGACGGGCCCCTGAACCTCTCCACCACCCCGTGGGCAGCAGCGGCCAAGCGGAGCGGTGGCGGCCCCCCGGCGGCCCTGCCCGGCCAGGCCCCGCTGTCGGTTTTCGGCATGCTGCTGCTCACCCTGCTGGTCACCATCCTGTGGGTGCGCGCCTTCCACCGCGTGCCCCACAACCTGGTGGCCTCCATGGCCGTCTAGTGCTGCGCCCCCCCCCCGCTCCTCCAGCCGTGGCTGCGCTGTGCGGGCCGCCCTGCTGCGCTGGTGCGCCCCCCCCTCCAGCCACGGCTGCTGGCTGCGCTGCGGGCCGCCCTGTTGTGCCCCCCCTTCTCCCGCTCCCGAAACCGAGTGCCCCCTCCCCTCTTTCCTCCTCCGCTCCGCCCCCTCCCCCGTCGCGGGTGCGCTGAGCCGAGCCGTTCTCAGCGGTGCGGTCGGCAGCACTGAGTCTGAGCCCAGCCAAAACAGAGCCTTTCCCTCCCAAGGCTGCTGCCAAGGCGCTCAGCCTCCTCCCCCCTCGCCACTTCTCCCCCCGGCCGCCGGCTCCCCTATCGCTGGGCAGCATGTGCCCAGCCCAGGCCCGCTGCCGCGCATGCTCCCCCCAGCCTCCCACTGCCGCGCGCCCCGGCCCGGCCCGAATGCTCCGGACCCGAACGGGCCCAACAGCGCAGGCACGTGCAGCCCGTCCCCGCTCTTTACCTGGCCGCTTGGCGTGCTCCTCCGGATGTGCTGGCCGCCCCCCCATGGCTCCTCCGGCCGTGCTGCCCTTCAGAGAGGAGCAGGCCCCGCCCGCTGGCGCCATATAAGGTAACCCCTAAGGCGCCGCTTTTGAAAAATGTGATTAGGGGAAGCAGTTGCTTCCCCTGCATCCCACTAGCTACGCTACTGGGTCTGACCCAGTTTGGCCATTCTTATGTTCTTATGTTCTAACCTAAATGAACCCAAAGTTATGGAGACAGATATGAGTCAAGGAAACCAGCAGAGTATCAGAAACCTAGAAAAATCTCTGGCTGGATGGGCTCAGGCGTTTGGTCACAAGCTGAGGTGGTTCAAAAGTTTTGGATTTTTTTTAAGCAGAATTTTTTTATTGTTTCTTTAAACAATCAAACACAGCAAGCAGCAAATATTTGGCCACACACTTCTGAAACCCCAAACCATGTTCAGGTTTTGGCAGACTAATTTCAGCTTTTCAATTAAAAAAACCACAACAAATTTTGAAGGAAAGCAGACATTGTTCGTGATTTTTTCTGCTTTTTAAAAACCCCTAGTTTTTGATCCAAAAAAAGTTTTGACAGAAAATATTTGTCCAACCCTTTTAATGAGCTTTAGTGCCTTTTAGCACTAGCTGATGCTGAGAACCAGTGATACCTTGTAAAGGTGACTTGAAAATAAGTTTTCTCACAACTGGGTTTGTGCCGAGATGTGGAAAGTTTTAAAATGTTTATTTTTCCCAGGGCCACTGGGGGGGGGGAGGGGGCAAATGGGGCAATTTGCCCCGGGGCCGCAAGGGCCCCCACGAGAATATAGTAGTCTATAGTATTGCAACTTTTTTTTATGGAAGGGGCCCCCAAAATTGCTTTGCCCCAGGCCCCCTGAATCCTCTGGGCGGCCCTGCTTAATGTGTGCTGCTTAATGGC